GCGCCGGGGGCCCCCACCGGCCTCTGCACCCGCACTGGGGCAGCGTCAGGGTGGCGGGGTGCTTTGCCGTTGCTGGGGGCTGTGCTCTGGCAGCTAAGCTGGCCCCCAGGGGTGGGATGTCCACTGCAGTGGAGCCCCTGACTTGTACCCCAGCCCACAGGGAGCGCCCTGCCCCCACGCCCCTGGAGCTGACCAGTCCATCCTCAAGGCGCTCCCCGGGTCACCTCCACCCACAGAGGTGGGTGGGCTGAGTTGTGGTGCAAACTTCAGGGCACCCCCAAAACCTGGTGGTCACTGACCCCAGGCAGCCGCCACCAAAGCAGGCAGGGCCCGCCCAGCCCTCCGCGTCCTCCCACCTGTCCCCTGGACGGCCCACTCCCTCCTGTGTGTCCTTCAAACTCTGCCCATTCTCCCCCACCCCTGGGAAGGCGCCTGGCTCGGCACCCCCTCACGCCTCAGGGTGTCATCGCCCTTCAGGGCTTGACCTCACCCTGGCCGGCCCATCTGGAGGACAGGGCCCGCGGCCCAGTGAGCCAGGGCTGAGGAGGGAGGGTCACAGGATCCCAGGGCCCCTGGCCCCTCGCCCCGCCCCCTGCCATGAATCAGCAGCTCCCGCTGCAGGCTGCCAGGGCGGCTTTGCACCTGCACCGGCCACTGGCTGGGACGCGTGAGAGGCCGGCGGGAGCCACTGCGGGACAGGCCACCTGTCCTTCCTAGCCTGTGGCCGCCTTCTCCGGGGAGACTCTGGCCGGGGCCAGCCCCAGGCCCCTCCCCTGCTCTGCCCCAGGGTCCCCTCAGCGGAGACCAGGGCCATACCGACCAGGCCTCCTGGGAGCCGGCACCCCGTGGGGCCACCCAAGTCAGGACGAGACGCACACGTCCAGGGACACCCCGCTGCTGGCAGCCCAGAGAGCTGCTGGGCAGGACTGGCCATTCTGGGGCCCGGTGGTCTCTCTCCTTGGCCGGGGGAAGGAAGCTCTCGCCGCCCGTAACGGGCAGGGCTCAGCGCCCAGCGGCCCCGCACCCGGCCAGGGCAGGTCTGTGTGGTCTCCGCTCCCTGGCCCGGGCAGAGGCTCGCCCACCGCTCAGCTCCCCGGCAGGCGCGGTGAAGGGGGGGCCGACGCACGGCCACCCGGTGTCTCCGGCAGTGGGCCGGGGCGGGGGCAGGCCTGGGAGCCGAGCCGAGCCAGAGGAAACCGCTTTATTTCGAGGCCCTGGAGCGGGCGTCCAGCACCCTGACTGCCCGTCCCGTGGGGGGGGCCGCCACGCACCCCACCAGCAGGGACCGCGAGGACTGAAGGCCAGCTCGGCTCCGGGCAGGCAGCAGGGGCTGACCACAGGCTGCAGCTGCTCGGCGGGCCGCCCCCCGCAGCACCCCCAGGTGCTGTGCCCCAGGGCCTCCCACACCCCAGCGGACACCAGGCTTCCGCTCTGCGCGGGCCCTGCCCCAGCGTGGTGCCCGCAGGGCCGTAGGGCACACGGCGCCCCCGGGCGGGACCCCGCCAGCCTGCAGTCAGCACCCAGTCCTTCCAGTCTGGCCCGCGGGGGGTCTGGGGCGGTCGGCAGCAAGCCCCTCCCTCGGTGACCCGCGGTGGCGTCCACGCTGTGCTGACCCTGCACGGGGTCCCAGGCCAGAGGCGCGACCCCAGCCCTGGCGCCGGGAGGCCGCTC